CAAAACAATGTCAATGTTGAATTCAACCTGTATAATGGAGTATTCAGTAGAGCTGGAATATTTGTGATTCGGTAGATATTCGATGAAAGTATCATAAATCCACAGATTTAATGACACGAAACGTTTGCGACATATTTTGAAAAGGGAACAGGGAAACATTTTAAAATTCGGGCAAAAATGTCATTCGTTTCAATTATGCTAAAAATAGGGCAAACACGAAACGTTTGTGATATTTTAATTAAGCTAAAAATTGTAAGTCAAACAAAATCCATGCATAGATAAATACATTGGGCAGAAAATTGATGAAATTTCGAATGATAGCTTGAAATAAGCGATTGCCAAAGACTGCTGCTTATAAACACACTCGTCGACAGACGTCTCAATCAGAGTGATCAGGATCAATGTTGGATTGCCGCTGAAAATACACTTAATCCACAGCCACGTTTATGCTAACAAATAAGAAGATATTTCCACGTTGTTTTCGTTTTGCAGTAAAATAACTTTGAGTATTTTCGGTGGAGAAGAAAATTCCATTGACTTTTGAATTGAATCACTTCTGATCTGTGGTACTGTAGATGTAAATTTGAGATTGCCTGTGCTAAACAGAATCTCAGAGCGAGTTTAGAATTCATGAGCAGACCACCTCTCTATTAGATGCATAAATTGCGGTTCTTGCCACTGAATCCCTCAATTTCAACAGCCTCTCTCTGAAGTTTTTATCGATAGCCAGCGATGGACTTTGACCAGCTCTCTTTCGTTCATCAAATTCTTCGAGTAACGATTGCAGTTGTGCTTGGAAGTTTGCAATTTCGGGTGCAATCTGCGATGCGCTATGCTCCAACGTGCTCAGTCGTGCACTCAGCGACTAAACTAATCGACGGTACAATTACAGAACGACTCTCTCATTCACACATCGTACCTGGGCCAGTAAAATTCTATGGATGGAAAATTAGAAGTACAAATTGATAGTAATGAAAATTTGAATGCTTTTTCCTTCCTGATGAAATTTTCAGTGCGAAAATAAATCTCCGAAGCATAGCGATTCTCATGCTTGAAACAATGATAAATTTCAATTGAACCTTAAGGCGCTTCTCGGCTAGTGTGCTCCAATCGTCCACTTTAGTGTCCTGAATTTAAAGAAATCATTTTCGTCATTTGAAACAGATCATTTTTCAAATTATGATCATACTGTTTATTGCGGAAATATCCCTGACTTTTCATCCGAAACTTCATCCATATTTAGACGAAAAAATAAGTCGAAATTGATTACCTTCATCATGAAAGCACTCCTGTTCTTGCTTGGGTCATCGTTTAGTTCTGAGAATTTTTTGAGAAGTGCTTCAAGCGCTTGAATCACGACTCGTGACTGCAATTCACTATTTTTCAGTTGCATCTCCGAACGAAAACTCGGAAATTTTTTCAATTCCTATCTCCCAGGGAATAATCGCACAATATGCTCCATTGATTCCATGAATTCCTCCATTAGAAATTGTTCTCGAACGGTTCTCGGAAATTTTTTGCTCAACTTTGCAATGATTCTCTTAATTGAGTCTCTTGTTTGATTGTATCTACTCAAACAGATCAATCAAATCGATCCAGCAAAAACCTTTAAAAGCTCAACAGTCGCTCCATAAATAACAGAATTCGCAGTGTTAAAATCACCTCAGAATTGTTCTCATCCAATTCATTCTTCTGTTGATATACGACAAATCTCAGCTCTGTACGAAGCACTCCTTCTTCCGGTTGCGATCTCTGTACGCGTAGCAACTGTCTCGGTAAGGGTCTACCGCGTGAGTCCACCATTTTCCAACCAAATGAAACGTTAAAAATTTCCGCCCAAACAATTCACAACACATCAGAATGTTCTCCAGATAACTTAGGCAAATTTCTGCTCTAATTTACTCTTCATAAATTGCACTCTGCATCATTAGTCAGCGTCTGATGACGCATTTCAATATGCGTTGACATTTTTGCGGGGTTTCCGGTAATTTTAAGAAGCTCTGATGACGCGATTGTATGCTTGGGATGAAATGATGCTTAGGTTTCTTTTCATAAAAGACATTTGAATTTCATAAAGGATATAAAAGACATTTCATAAAGGACATGTTGGGTTTGAATTGAACCGGACGATCATTCGATGACGTTAAAGACGATCATTCGATGACGTTATAGTCTTTGGAGGAAGAAAGTCCGTTTCGGAAAGGAATATTGTAAACAACTGGAAACTGAAATCAATGAAACTCCGAAAATTTCTGCGATAAAATGATCAGTTCACGATGTTGCGGTTCTTCTGTATTGTCGGATTTGTTTTAGCACAACTGACGACGGCCACAACAGCAATGACTTTGTTGAAAAAAGTGTCATCTATGGGCACCGATTGGGATTCATGGAAGAATCTGGTTTGTTCTCTTGCATTCAGCTTGTGAACACAAGAAATCAGAAATTTACTCAGGTTTTGAGAAAGCAGAATATTCCTTCTAGTTTCAATGATAAAACCATTGAAGACATAAGACTTAATGACAAAAATTAATAATACTAACCAAAATTTGAGAATGAGTGATAACGGTAAGTACCACACAATTTCAGGACAATGCAACCGAGTCGTTCAGTTCAGTTCAAGTGATACCACTAATACGAATTATGTTGCACGATCCGTTATGGAAATGGAAATGGATGAACGGCGCTTACGGGATTTATCGATTAAGATCCCGAATATAACTATCGATTGCGAACTGAATTCAGTAGAAGATGATGGAAATCTCATGTGCGGATGGAATTACGACTTGATTTTAATGATAAATATTGTTAAAGACTCGATTTTAATGATACAAATGCTCTGAAATTTTCTTATTCATTTGTTACACTGAATAAATAATCATTTATTCCTAATGTGTTAAGCTATTGTTCGCATGAATTCTAATGGCTGCATAGTTTTCATGCTTCCAATTAGTTGACCGTCGATGCTACACATCCTCTGTTCATACAAATTTCCCCAATAATGTCAATGATTTACACATTAGTGACAGATAAACAATGGTTCTGAGCCGAAAAAAGTCCTCTTATGAACAAAATCAACGAGGAATTGGAATAAAATGCATCATTGCCTCTGATCACGACGCAAACAAATTAACTTTCAACTGATAATATTCATTACATTCATAACGTATCCATAATTCAGACAAAATAATACACATTTCCAATAGGGCAATATTGTTATTATTCACAACATATCGTTACATCACGTTATTATTCACAACATATCGTTACATCAAGTATCACAATTACAATTCTAAACAATCAAATAATACAAATTAACTTTTGCATGCATAATTCACTGACAAGGAACCTTCCTTCAGACGATAAACCCGGGTGAAAAAAAAANAAAAAAGTGGACAAGGAAGGAAGGCATCATTGTCAGCTGTAATGAAATAATTAATATCTGTTATAATACAGACGAGTATGTGGGGATGGTTTCTCGAATATGCATGTTTATTGCAATGATAAAAATTTAGCAAATTTACATAATGAATTTAGTCTCGTTGTTGTTATCTTACAATAAGATGTATTAACGTCTTCTCATTGATTACTTCAATTCGATGTACTGATAGATTTGACTAAACTGTGCAGTACGGTCGTTACGATCTTCATTACGATCATTGCACAAAATACTTCATTCACTTCACATTTTTCCACTTATATTGGTCAAGAGTTGTTATTGCATGCTCAAATTCTTGTGCAATTGATCGAAGCAAACGTCGATATTGAGACTGTAAAGGTGATGAATAACCTAGCAGGTTGACTAAATCAAACCAATTGCAAGAGTAATTGCTCAAGTACAAGCTATATTGCAGAGAAATATATTGTCTTTAAATCCAGCTGCATTTCATGTCGTTGTTCGGTGATGAGAGTGAGTGACGGCGGCTAACCTGTGCGCATGACTATTTGACAACCCGTTGGTGAACACAAAAGTTGTAGGTGATAATTTCAAAAACTTAATTAACTAAGCGCGCACTGCAAAACACCACTGAGCAGCCAATCAATCACATCTATCGTATATCGCAATATTTGGCTGGAGTCGGCGGACGGATCGACTCGTTCTCGATAACGTTCAGCGTTCGAGTCTCCACATTGACCGTCAACGAAAAGCCTTCTCGTATCTGCGGTGCGGATCGTGGAACACGATTCTCAGCAGCTTCAGCACCACCCGCACAGTTAGGTGGCTGAAACGAAACGTTAACATGAATCGCAAATAACAAGTTAAAGCAATCATAAACACTCGAAATCTTGTTGTTGGTATGGTGGCGATAATCTCATCGTAAATCAAGTTCCCTTCAAACATATGATAAATAACAGATAGACTACTCAAGTACAAAATCGCTTCTTTGACTGCTATCTTCAAATACAATTCTAAGTCATGTATTAAAATTTGATTAAGTTTCTCACCACCAAATCATAGCACTGGAGACATGAAGTCATTTGAGCACATGAAGTCAAGATTTTAAAATGTAAACTCTCTAAAAATCAAAACACTGTCAACATACAATCATTGAAGTGCACGCAGCGCCACTTTCCATGTCGCATAACGAAATTGAACATTGAAATACAACGTTACCATCACCAGGGAATTTGAAAACACTCATATCTCTGAAGATGTACGCGTCACCTTTTCGTGGCCTCTCCAAAAGTTTCGAATAGTTGGGTGTTTCCAAAATATGTGGGTCGATTTCACAGCTGAAAATTTTTGCTTTAACCAATTTCACGAGCCACTTCTTTGCTCATTCAATGATATCCTTATGAACTGAATTCATTCGTCCTAATCAGTTCTTGCAAGAAAATCGAATTAAAATTTTCCAATTTAGTGATCAGAACAGAGCAAATGATCATTACTGACATAAAACTAATCGAATCAAACACACATAAATTCATCGATAAACAAAAGGTGTTAATCATTTACCCTCGTGAATCAAGTATTTTGATGTTCTTTGTCTCAGATTTTGCATAGCAATCGTGAATCAAGTATCGATAGTTTGGTGCTGAAAATTAGGACATATTTAAGCGCCGCAGAAAACTGCTAATTTCCTCAACGAACAAAGCATCATCAAGTGTTATCTTATCAAATCATTCTGCGCATTTTATGAATAAAGAATCGTCAGCTGTCAAATACTCCTGGAAATGACATTAGCATTAGT